ACACGGAGTCCCTACCAGCTGTCCCACACTGTAGGGAACAAAGAAAGCCAATGTTTATTCTGTATAGATTGCTTCTTGTCCACCTCTCCATACCTGCCCCCGTTTGCCACACGCTCACGCCCTGTGTCTGCCTCTCTTTCACCATTACGTGAAAGGTCCGCGTGAAATCTCTCATTCTTATGTGAGTTTTATAAAGATGTACACTGTGCTTAACCCCTGCCCATCCTCAGTACTACCCCCCCCAACGCAGCGCAATAAAGCCCCCTCCCCTCCCCAAGTGGCGATTTCTCCCGGCAAGGATCAGGGGAGCCCCTTCTGTAGAAGCCAGCGCCCCCTCTCCTTGCTTCTCCTCCCCCCTAGGACCAAGTTGTTTAATGGGCCAGAGATGCAGCCAGTGGGGGAACCCTTTCCCCCGTGACCACCGCAAGCCCCAGGGCCGTCGCGGTCTTCCTCTTCTCCCAACTTCTTGATCCTGCGCCTTCGCCACTCAGCCCCCTGCCCATGTCATTCCACCGCCATCCTTCACCTCTCCCTCAGCCTCACGGAGAGGACACATTTTCTAATGTCTGTACATAGTATATATACTACATAAAATATATAAATTATATATATATATACTAATTTATGTCTTGTTTTTCAAACAAGAATGATTAAATCTATTCATCTTACTATCCCAATAAGCCTTTGCAGTGCCTCTTTGTGGGTGTCCTTGTGTCCTTGATTCGCTGGTTGGTGACGGACCCCCCCACACACACCCCGAGTGCTCTCCCTAGCTTCTGCTCCCATCTGCCTGGGCCCCAGTGAGTGATGAGAGCTTAGGACCCTGTCGTGCTGCCTCCCTTTGCTCCTCTTAGAAGCCTCCTGTGGGTCACGGTCACGGGAATTGAATATGGTCTACTCCTTTCTCTTGAGCCTGGCTGTGACCTCAGAGCTGAAGGGAGTGGGGGTGGGGGTGGGGGGTGGGTTGCAGAAACACAATGCGCCCCGTGCATAGTGCATAGTACACTGGATGGCCTGGGAGGTAGGGGACAGACAGGGTAGGGGACAGCTCTCTGGGTGGAACTGGGAAATGGGGCCTCTCCCTCTGAAACGTGCCCAGTTTCCTCAGAGTATAGCTTGGCTGGTGTGAATCCCCTGCAGTGCCCTCTGGTGATTTTGGGGGGGGGGGTGTTTCAAAAGGATAGGAGCAGCAGGACCCTAAGCAGGGCTGGCCTCTCTGGCTTTATATCGAATGGAGAGAAATGATTTTGCTTCTCCCGTTCTCTTATTTTCTTCTGGTAATCACAGGTCCCCACGGGCATATGAGGCACCCTCATGCCAACTAGATAAATGTTCTTCCTGCCACGCACCCCCCTGTGATAATTAGAAAGAAAATCATTCTCTGGGTGACACATGGGCACCTGTGGATACATGACGATTTCAGCTCCATCCAGCCCCCCCCCACCCCGGCCTTGTTGGCCCAGTAGGCAAACGAGACAACCACGTACCGTGGCCCTAATTAATCACTTCCTCCCAAAGACTGGACACAGACTCTCTTCTCCTGCCTGCAGAGGTCCTGGCTAAAGTGGTTTGGGAGGAGGGCAGAGAGGAGGAGCCAGAAACAGCGCAGGCAGAGGCCCCCACTGCACGCAGGAGGCCATAGGGGTGAGAGGCCTAGCCCCTGGTGCAGAACTCTTCTGGGGCTGCCCACCGGGGATACTGTTCCACAACCCCAAGGTTGGAACTCAGTGGAAGGCAGGGCCAATGTAAAGTGAGACCTGTTCCCACTTAAAAACCTAACTGGACAGTCCAGAAATTTGGGGCCCCTCTCATCCTGCACTACATGGGCAGCTCCCTCTGGCCAGAAAGCATTCTTACTCAGTTCTAGTCCCTGGGTACCCATCCACGCGGGACCCTGCATGTAGTAGGGCTTCAATAAATATTTGTGGGATGAACGAGTGTTGGACGAGATGACCGTCACGAGAGAGCCCTCCCAGACCTCTGTATCTCGTGCGAAGGGCCCTCTCTCCCCTGGGAATGGCTAACCCAGGGCACTTGGACGAGGCCAGGCAGCCTGGCCTCCTCCTGTCAAAGAATGCGAAGTCAGGTCCATCGTCCTGTGTCCCATTAACTCAGCAGACTTTCACACACTACTTTTCCAAAGCTTCGGAAGCTCTCCCGAGATGACTGATGGTCTCCTTTTCTGTGGACGCAGGACCACTGTGTGGTACCCCAAAGCATGGGGGGAGGCCGTCTTCCCACCACGCATCTACCTGGTCATCTCCGGCCTGAGCCAGAGCCCGAGGCTGATGCTCTTCAGCCACCCCCTACCAGACCTGAGTCCCCGGAGCCTGACTGCAGCTTTCTGACTGCAACCAATGAAAGGAAAATGGGTTCGTGCTGTTGGCATGGACCCAGGATGCCCGTGGTGCTGTCAGAGTCCCATTTTTTTGTCAAGCTGTTGTCAAGGCACTGTGGATAATAGGCAATTTCATCCGAAATGGAAAGGACCTGCCTCAGCCAGAACTCTTCCTTGCCAGAAGGGGCAAGGGAGGATCAGCCGCCAGCACTGGTGAGGGGCATCAACGTATATCTTAGGATCGAATTCCTCCCAATAGCAGCTGCTAGGATGAGAGTGAGAACCGCATCCCGTTCCCCATCCTGTAGGCTGGAAGCCAGACTCTGGGTGGGCGTCGGCATTGAGGAGGCGGTTCTCCATGGAGTCAGAGGAAAAAAACCTCTGAGGGTTCAGTCTTGGGCCCTGGAAAAATGGTCTGAATTCCAGGACGGTCTCTTAGTTCCAACGACCTGAGCTTCTGGAAGCCACTGTGAGGAGAATTATGGAGGCCTGTCTTCTCACAGGGACCAAAGTGCTTGATTCACTTCAGTGCTGCTAGCAATATCTCGCCCAGGCCACCAAGCCCTTGTGTGCTTCCCACATTCCCAGTATTACCGGGGCATGCTCTGGACATTTCCAGCTGTAGGGTCTGGACCCACCACTTAGGAATGAACCCCCTTTTAGCTCCCCAGCCCTCCTGTCTGTGATGTCTGTCTTTCCCTCTGGGTGTTGACTCCTCATTCTTATTTTCACGGCTTCGGCTAAAAGGAATATGAGTCTGTACTATGCTGAGAGCCTTCCACAACACAGAAAAGTTGATCCCTGCCCTTAAATATGCAAAAACAACAGTGTGATCACTTGCCGTATGCCAGGCACTGTGCTAAGTACTTTACACGCATGATCTCATTTAATTTTCCTAGCAACCCTTCGAGAGAGAGATGACGAGGGGTGACTCGCTGGCTCAGTCGGTGGAGCGTGCGACTCTGATCTCAGGGTCATGAGTTCAAGCCCCACAGTTGGCAAAGAACTTACTTAAAAAAAAATATAT